TGATCGTGCTATGTTCAAGACATACATGAATACTGAAGATAAGAAAGTGTTGTTGGGAGATGCTCACACCACTAATGTTGCTGGAATTGGAGATGTTGAACTGAAGTTCACTTCAGGAAAGACTTTGATCTTGAAGGACGTCATGCATGTTCCTGAAATTAGGAAGAATCTTGTTTCTGGTTTTCTTCTGAATAAGGTTGGGTTCAGTCAAACTTTAGGGGCAGATTTGTACACCATCACTAAGAATGGTATTTTTGTGCGAAAAAGGGTACGCCACTGATGGCATGTTTAAGTTGAATGTTGATTTGAATAAAACTTCTCCTTCTGTTTACTTTTTGTGTGATTTTAATATTTGGCATGGTAGACTTTGTCACGTTAATAAACAAATCATTTCTAATGCAAGCAACATAGGCCTAATCCCTAAACTAAATATTAATGATTCCAATAAATGTGAATTTTGCAGTCAAGCTAAAATAACAAAGACTTCACATAAATCAATAATAAAAGAATCTGATCCCCTAGATCTTATACACTCTGATATATGTGAATTAGATGGAAGTTTAACTAGAAATAATAAACGTTATTTTATCACTTTTATTGACGATTGCTCTGATTATACTTATGTATATCTAATGAAGAATAAAAGTGAAGCGCTTGACATGTTTAAGGTGTATGTAACTGAAATTGAGAATCAATTTAACAAGAAGATTAAGAGACTTCGCAGTGATAGGGGAACCGAATATGACTCTAGCTTGTTTAATGATTTTTATGCTGAACATGGTATTATACATGAAACGACTGCTCCATACTCTCCTGAAATGAATGGTAAAGCAGAAAGAAAGAATAGGACTCTTACTGAACTTGTAGTTGCAATCATGTTAAATTCTGGTGGTGCACCTCACTGGTGGGGGAAAATTTTATTGACTGTTTGCTATGTCCTGAATAAAGTTCCCAAGTCGAAAAGTAAGATCTCACCTTATGAGATATTAAAGAAAAGACAACCAAATTTGTCTTATTTGAGAACTTGGGGCTGCCTGGCTTATGTCAGAATTCCGGATCCGAAACGAGTTAAACTCGCTAGTAGAGCCTATGAATGCGTATTCATTGGGTATGCAGCAAACAGTAAGGCATACATGTTTTATGACCTAAATGCCAGAGTAATCATAGAATCAAACGATGTTGAATTCTTTGAAGACAAATTTCCCTTCAAATCGAGAAATAGTGGGGGCACACAATCGAGTCACATTCCTGTGATAAAAAGCACTGAAAGCAGCGACAATGTAGAAACAGAGCTTCGAAGAAGTAAAAGAGCAAGAGTTGCTAAAGACTATGGGCCCGATTATGCGGCCTATAATGTAGAAGAAGATCCAATAAATCTTCAAGAAGCACTGTCATCTATGGATGCAGACTTATGGCAAGAAGCCATTAATGATGAGATAGATTCTCTAGAATCTAATAAGACCTGGCACTTAGTAAACTTACCTCCGGGTTGCAAACCAATTGGTTGTAAATGGGTTTTGAAAAAGAAACTAAAACCTGATGGAACGATTGAGAAATACAAGGCACGCCTTGTAGCCAAGGGTTTTAGACAAAGAGAAAATATAGATTTCTTCGACACCTTTTCTCCAGTCACTAGAATTACATCCATTAGGGTACTCATTTCAATAGCAGCCATTTATAACTTAATAGTACACCAAATGGATGTTAAAACAACTTTTTTAAACGGTGACTTAGAAGAAGAAATCTATATGGAACAACCAGAAGGATTTGTAATCCAAGGACAAGAAAGCAAGGTCTGTAAGTTAGATAAGTCTCTGTATGGACTAAAACAAGCCCCTAAACAATGGCATGAAAAGTTTGATAACTTAATGATAATTAATGGGTACAAAGTGAATGAGAGTGACAAGTGCGTTTATTACAAATCTGAGAATCGCATTTGTACTATCATATGTCTATATGTAGACGATCTACTTATATTTGGATCAAACATTCAGGCCATTAATGATACGAAATCATTGTTATGCAATAACTTTGATATGAAAGACCTCGGAAAAGCAAGCGTGATCCTGGGTATCAAGATCACGAGATCCGACCAAGGAATTTCTTTGGATCAATCTCACTATGTGGAGAAGATCTTAAAGAAATATAAATACTTTGATTGTAAACCTGCATGCACTCCGTATGATCCAAGTGTGAAACTGTTTAAGAACACTGGAGAAAGTGTCAAACAAGCAGAATATGCGAGCATCATTGGCAGTCTTAGGTATGCCACTGATTGTACTAGACCCGACATTGCATATGTCGTAGGATTGTTGTGCAGATTTACAAGTAGGCCGAGTAACGAACATTGGCAAGCTATTGAGCGAGTAATGAGGTACCTTAAAAGGACTATGGACCTCGGCCTACACTATCAGAATTTTCCTGCTATACTAGAAGGGTATAGTGATGCAGATTGGAACACCTTATCGGATGATTCCAAAGCTACTAGTGGTTATATATTTAGTATAGCCGGAGGAGCTGTATCTTGGAAATCAAAGAAACAGACCATTCTGGCACAATCCACAATGGAATTTGAGATGATAACATTAGCTACAGCTAGTGAAGAAGCAAGTTGGTTAAGATGCTTGCTAGCTGAGATTCCTTTATGGGAAAAACCTATACCAGCTGTGTTGATCCACTGCGATAATACCGCGGCTATTGCAAAAGTTGAGAACCGTTACTATAATGGTAAAAGACGTCAAATTAGAAGAAAACATAGCACTGTTAGAGATTGTATATCTAAAGGAGCAGTGAGAGTGGATCATGTACGCGCTGATGAGAACTTAGCAGATCCTTTGACGAAAGGATTAGCTAGAGAGAAAGTCCATAATACTTCCAAAAAGATGGGACTAATGCCTATAAAGCAATTAGTTACTCATGATGGTAACCCGACCTAAATTACTGGAGATCCCAAGACTTAGGTTCAATGGGTAATAACAAGTTGTGAGTAATATGAAAATGATCATGCAAGTAAAGCATGAATCCTGAAGTAATGACAGGATGAGATAATAGAAACTCTTAATGATATCTATTCTCTGTATGAGGGAGTACCTAGGCTACAGGAGTACTCTTGATAGATTCACCTATGTGACTGTGGAACTGAGGCCGGTTCCTATGGAATTTCGAGGCAGAATTCCTAGAGCATTCACTAAACCGGGATACACGTGCAAGGCCACTAAAGCACGGGCTACAAGAATACACCTTACGGAAAGGTTGTGTGCGAGTCTGATGTCCGAGATAGAGTTCAAGACAATGGTGTCACTCTTGTTGAATCAGAATCCTACTCGCTACGCTAAGGTTCAAGTCGTAGACACCTTTGCTTATGCACAATCTTAGAAACGTTTGACGGACTTCTAAAATTTCCTTTAAATTCAAGTGGGGGATTGTTGGAACTATAATAATTATAGTAATAGAAATTGAAAAGTGAATTTGAAAAGATTCATTTTAGTCCCACATTGGATGTTGGAATTATATTAATGGGAATTGGAAAGTGAATTTGAAAAGATTCATGTTAGTCCTACATTGGATGTTGGAATTATATTAATGGGAATTGGAAAGTGAATTTGACAAGATTCATTTTACTCTCACATTGGAGGAATGGAAATATCAGCCTCACTAGCTACCTATAAATAAAGGGTAAAAATTCAGTAGTGAGCACTCCGGATTTCACAAATTCACACGAATTTTGATTTCCCTCTCTCTCCCTTAATTCTCTTCATCTAAACAATTTTCTTTTCTTGGTTTTTTCGACTGGCTATTTCAGCCAGATACTGGACTGACTATTTTCGCTTCTAGAGCGATTTATCAGTGTGCAACTGATAATCGTAAGTTTTAAGAACGGGCTGTTTTATCCTGGAGGCGTCGTCGTAAATCGACTGCTTTGCATAATTTGGTAGTACGGCGAAACGTCTTAAAGAAAGCGACCTAGTACGGGACGAGCCTAGTACGCGACTCGTCCCGATAATTTCCTTGTGCCAAACTCAATTTTTTAAATCCGAAAACAACAACAACCAATGCTATTTTCTAGCTGGTGTATAGCCTATTTAAGGTCATTTGTAAATACAAGCCTTCAGAATATTTTTTCAATATGAAGCTTCATCTTATATTTGGGATTACATTGCCAGATGTTAATAATATTCAACATTTACTCTTACAAACTTTTTGTCATATTTGATCAACATTCTAAGATGGGTGGAGATTTTATGTATTCTAATGTAATCTATACCACTGCTCTTCAATTTTACAACCATCTCTCACTTAGCGAAAAAGCACATCAGTGTATTAATCCAGATAGCTAATATTTGAGTTATCTAAAAAAAAGAGAAATATGAGAATTTTAAACCGAACAAATATTTTCTTCCGTTGTCATTGGAAAAGATTAAAATTCTTTCATGGTGGTGGTGGTTGAAGGCTAAAAGTTAGATGTGTATTCTAACATAAACTTTTGATAGTCTAATTTATGATAAAAAATTGTGATTGGATAGTAGAAATCATAATACGTGATTCACCGAATCTTAACTAGACTCTTGATATCATATTAAAAAAATGTGGTTGAACATTATAAAACCTGTTGATAGACTGAGGATTATTCCACTTATGAAACACATGTTCAGGTGAGATTTTCTTACCCACATGCCACAATTTGAAATAAAAAACACAAAAATAACACTATTTAAAAAAAAAAAATACTAGCATCATTGCAATCATGATACATATTTAAAAACTTTAGAAAAACTTTCTCATTCAAAGGTTGAAACCAGTAAAAGAAAAATGGTTCAAGAGTTATGTTGAACAAATTCATTAGATCAAACAACTTCAAAACAATTTCATTCTAAATCATAATTTATATCAAACTTTAATATGTATATTATTCATAGTACAGACTCTTACAAAGTCACAGAATCACAACTCTTTCAAAGTACAAACTCTTACTATTTGCAATTCCAAGTCATTTTTCTATCTTAGACAGTAAAATACTTCTTGATGGCATCTAGTAACTTATCAGCTCCTTCTGGACCAAACAACCTTGGAAAACTTGTACCAAGATCAACCTCAACAGTCTTGTTTCTAGTAAAACCATCTCTTTTTTTCAGATAAGCTTTTTCCTCCTCTCCAACTTCTCTCTCAGCACAAGCACAATGATCCAACCAGATCCCCAACACTTGTTTTGTAATCGGGCCGACATGATTCCTAAGGATCTCGTTTATCAGCTCTCCTCCGTCATTTTCTGTCTGAACACGAACACATATTGCAGTAGGAGATGTGATTGCGCGGATGAAAAGTGAAGAAGAGAAATAAGGTTGAACCTCATGAACTTTCTCCAAAGCCTGTCTATGTTTATCAAGTTCAGTGTCCTCGTAGAACGTTTTAAGGTAATCTGGCGAAAGAACAAGGTCTTTTCGAGGCGGCAGATCGAGAACAAGAATTAGCATTGTTGGACTGCTTCGAATCAGCTCGAACATGAAATTCGGTGCATCATTTGATGTTTTGAGATAACCTGAAATAGATGTTATATCTAATGATCCTCCTGTTGGTAGCTCAGAATGCACCCAGCTTCCAAGTACAAAATCTATCTGAGACATACAAATAAAATGGGCAAAGAACAAATTCAGAATAAACAACCAAGATTTTAAAGACTTTTGCAATCTCATTCGGTATATATAAAAACGATGAATATCAATAACCCTATCGACACCTTCTGATACTGATTTGTTATGGCAGTTTTCGCAGTTTCCATAAGTTCTCACAAATAAGCTCAGATTAATTAATCAAAACATTCCTTAAATTCATTATTTTTCTTTAATATAATTAAGTTAATAAGTAAATAGAATAAGCTAAACAACAAATCACAATTAGGGAATTTGAGAAGAAGGAAAATTACAGGGGAGTGAGTGTTGCCTGGTGTAATATGCAATGAAATTTGAGAAGTAGCACTGTTGTTTTTGTAGTATTGAACATCAGAGGGAAGTGAACAAGGAAGAAGATGAGATTGAAGTCGATCTTCAAGGGATGAAACGAGATCAAGCATGATATTCTTGTGTGGTGCAGAAACGAATGGAAGTTCCAAGAACTTGCTACGGCCTTGGTTGTTGTGGGTATCCATCTGAGAGCAAGAGATAGAAAACCGAGAAGAGGAAGAAGAAGAAAGTTGAAGTCTTGGAGAAGAAAAGATGGAAAGTGGTGAGTGTAGGGAATTGCCACAGAACATCATCACTTCATTTGTGTATAGCCAAGACACATGTTCTTTTGTTGTTGGTTTTGTTAATAATGTTTTATTATTTGATGGACAAAACATGAAGAATAGGCCCAATATCACTACCATTGGAGCCTTATGCACCCCCTAACAAATACACTTGCTCACTTACAAGTTACAATTTACATGATTTTATTATTTGATTTTTTTTCTTCTTCATCTATGCTCCCTATCATTTCTCAAAAACTCCATTCGACTTTCACTCTTCTGGCCACCGTGCCCTGCTTCAACCACCGTGAGAACCACTCTCTACTCTGTCTAACACCATCATTCCTTGCATCACCAGCTCCATCCAAACTCACTATTAAGCACCACAAACTCTATTTTCTCTCTCTCTAATGTGAACCCGAAGCGTCTCTCAAAACTCTAATAAAGATAATAACAAAAATAGTTCTAAAAATTTATCATCATTCAAGTGATTTGAAATAGAATTACTCTCCTTATACTTCAAACTTGTGAAACTATTCTATAAAAAAAAATATTATTCTCTAATTTAAAGGCATACAAAGACTCTATCTTCTAAATATTCATTAGAGATGAGTCATGAAAAAATTATTATTTCCTAATTTAAAGGTATAGAAAGACTCTATCTTCTGAATATTTATGGGAGATGAGTCAAATTGTCATCCCTAACTCAGACCGTCTTTTTTTGGCCGCCCTCATCCCCATAATAACTTCACAATTTTAAAATTTTATCATTTAAACAAACTTTAAAATAAAAAATTAAAATATTTTAAATAATCACGTAGACTCCTTTTTTATTTACTTAGAAATAATGGAAATAAATCATATTTAAATTATTAAAATTTGATCGTTTAACTATTTATTTATTATTCATTAGAATATAAAAAGGGAAATGTAAAAACCTTTATAAAGGATGATTTAATGGCATTTCTTATTTTCCTGCTTTTATATATAAAGAAATATATATTTTGAGTGAGTAGAATGTGCACGTCTATAACTCAAATTCGAAAAGATTTTACTTTTCTGGAATTACACTCAATTCTCTCCTTATAATATGCTCATATCGATGTCATTATTATTATTATTTTATTTTTGGAAAGTTATTTATTATTTATTTGGATAACATGATTTACATCATTATAGATGGCAACATACCAATTACACGTTGTATTGATTCCCATTGTGATTTTGGTTTATGATAACAATTAATTGTGGCCGAAATTTATTCTTAAAGATAAAGAATTGATAAAAATAGAATATAATCATAATTAATATTGCATATATTTCCTTTTACATGGTCCAAATCCAAAATTAACATTTATTGAGATTCTTATGTATGCCCTATATATACGTATAAACTACAATGCCAATAGTTAATCTATATTTTTGTCACAAAACTCATAACAGATTATAGTTTGAGTTTAGTTGAGAAAAATGGTTTCTAACACGACGTTTATGATCTTGAACCTCTTCATCATGTTTGGCTTGATCTCTACTAATGTGCTAGCAAGGAATTTGTATGAGACATCTTCAATATCTAATACAGGTTTTTTATTTTATTTTTATAATCTCTTTCTAAAAGTGGAATGCATCATGTTTAAAGTTTTAAATCTATATTTTTATACTTAGGATTTATTTGTGAATTATCGAATAATTTATATTTTTAAATTTTATTACTAATTTGTGGACATTATCGCTATGATTTTTTTCATGTTACATTTATATTATTCAATAAATTTAGTGATATAAAAAGTTTAATAATATTTTTTGCATTTATGTTATTTATAATAAATTATATCATAAAAAAAATTCATGTCATAATATAATATTTGTGTTATGAAGTTGTATATTATCTATTATCTATTTAAAATGTAAAATTGTTTGTTAATTATTTTTTTAATATGACTGATATAATAGTTTTATTAATTTTATTTCTATGTGAATTGATTAAGTGTAGGATAGAGATATTGTTTATGAAGAAAATGCATATATGTTTTGTCACTTGTCTCATCATTTGTAGTTTTAAATTAGTTGTTATTGTTTATATAGATTAATATTTTTCGAATAAATACCCTAAAAAGATATGATATCTTTACACACCATATTACACTTACACCTTATAGTTTTAATATTTTATCATTAATTTCTCTCTTCTATTTTTAAATCAAAATAAAAATATAAATTATTTATTTGAATGGATATATTGTATATTTTAAATATTATAATTATATATATATATATATATATATATATATATATATATATATATATATATATATATATATATATATATATATATATATTGCTTTTTATTAATATTCCATTTTTAGTAGTAAAATATTATAATTTCTCTCTCCTATTTTGAATTAATATATTCAATTCTCAATTATTATTTTTAGATCTTAATATTATGAAGATCATTCTTACCATAAGCAAATTCGTATTTGAAACCCTAAAACTTTTCTTAATTGAATCTTTTGCGTAAATCTTTATAACAAAAAATAATTGTTTTTATTTTTATGCACAAATGAGTTATTAATTTATTTAAATACAATAAATGAATAATTAATGGATTTTTTATTATCTTATGCAGCAAGTAGTGTATCTTCAAATTTGGATGACAAGTGTGACGATTCTATGATTCAAATAAATCAATCTCCAACAGCTCCACTTCCAAGTGGTATTCCAACATATACAGTTGAGATTGCAAACACATGTGTCAGTGATTGTGCCATCTCTAACGTTCATGTTTCATGTGGCATGTTCAGTTCTGCAACACTTATCAATCCAAACATCTTCAATCGCCTAAGCGTCAATGATTGTTTAGTTAATGGTGGAAACCCCATTCCTAATGGGGGTGTTGTTTCTTTCAAGTATTCTAATACGTTTCCTTATCCACTCTTTGTTTCATCTGTAATTTGTGGTTAATCCTCTAGGTTTAAATGTTAGTTTTCTAGTAGTGGTATTGAATAGAACAATGTGATTTTGATTAGTCTTAATTCAAATAGTATTATTACTACACGATTATGTAAGTTTGAGAAAGTGATCTTATGCGGTGTGTTTGTTTCAAATTATGAAAAAAAATATTTTTTTGAATTATTATTTTTTTGAATTATTATTTTAAATAGTATTTTCATTTATATATTTGGAATGATTATATTTTTATTTAATTTAAAAATTATAAAAAATTATAAAATAAAAATATGTGAGTAGTAGTGAAAAATTATAGAAAATTGAGTTTATTCTAATGAAAATGTGGATTCCTAACGAAATTTCAATTCCTCAATCTTGCTCATAATTCAAATCAAGCATTTTTATGGTTCAAATCTCATTTTCCAAACTAAATTCTAGAAAATGAAAAACCTTCATAATTTGAATCAAACCTCAGCATGATTTGGATCAGTATGCTAAAAATTCTTAATTCAGATCAAAACTTTCATGATTCTAATCAAGTTGCGTTAACTTTTTGTCAAATGTATGTTTTATAAACTAAAAAAAATTTACAGCTGAAAAATAGTCTTTCTATGAGATGTGCAAGAATGTTTATTGGCAGGGACTCAATTACTATAATAATAAACATAAGAACTAGCAATAAAACACATTAAAGATATAGGGAAAGAGATATCTTATGAGAAATTTCATCATCATCTACAAAGGATCCTCTATGATGAATAAATACATGAATAAATTCATCCATTTTTAACATATAAGTAAAATGCTACAACTTAATATACAATCACATTACACGAACATGTGAAGAATTTTCTAAAACCTAAAACCCCAAAAAAAACCCTAAAACCCAGAGAAAACCACAAAATCCCACATTAAGATTCAAAACCTAAGAGACAACATGTGAAGAAATCTTACACAAACTATAAATCTTTTTGTGATGAAATTTAAAATAAATGATTAATCACACTATAAATGATAAATGAATTGTTTTTTTTTTTTTTGTTTTTTTAAAATCTATGACAATTGAATTGTTGTTACCATCATCAAATGAATGAAAACGAACCCCTAATGATTTTGAACTGCTGATATATATTAGCCAAAAAAGTGAGGTCCAAAGCAATGACCTTGTTTATCTTGCCCTTGATAATCTCAACTCTATAATTGTGAGATAATGCCTTATACCACAACTCACTCTTATCCTTTTTTTAAAATTTCTCTTTATCTAATAAAGAGAAATTAAATTCTTTCACTCTCTAGGCAGCATAATGAAACTCAACCATTATTTTTTTATAAAACAATGCATGTTCCCTAATTTATGTTTTCCAACACACAAATTGTGGAGCAAGCTAAATATACAATACCAGCAATTAACATTTGACAACTGTACGAAAACAATATTGATAGATATTGTATGACCTGGACTTAAGATTCAAAGAAATTATTTAAATCCTAGACACTAGTTGCCAATGTATAGAACATGTGATGCAGTTAAAAGATTCATGGCCCAAAAGCTATAGCAAGTGGGAAAATAAAATGTGAGGTACAGAAAACATAATGTAAGGAATCTTGAATTTATTTCATATATATATATATATATATATATATATATATATATATATATATATTCTGGTCTGGGCCCCGACTTGACCGGGCAGGCCCAGTTCAATGATACTTGGGGAAAGGTCCAAATCATCTATGTCGAGCACAGGGGCTTCCGTCGAACAGACACTGTCCCCGTCAGGCAGAACACTTCCTCCGTCGGGCAGAACAACGTGTCTTCCACACGTTCTCCACGTGCTCCCCACCCCACCTCCCCGCGGGAACACGTCATCTGGCAATAACCTACCTCTGAAAGAGCTGATCAGTCCACCTTCCGGAGATCACGAGACGGTTGAACTAGGGCGAAGACCACGTGCTGGTCTTCACTACGCCACGTAAGCCCTAGCAGTCATTTGGATTGGGCCTGACAATCCAGCCAACACAAGTGACCGTTGGCCGGGTCTCTATAAATACCTTCTTCCACTAGAGGGTCAGGATTCAAT